TGTTATTGTCTTACAATTTCATTCCTTTTGGCGATGCCAGTTACCAATTACCCAATCGCTTCTGAGAAAAAAATATCCCCTCCCCTCCCCGAATGCGGCTGTCCTGGTTTACTTCCCAAAAAATTAGTTGCTGATTTGAAAATATCAACTTGAAAATGTGTGTGGACATGTGAAATGTCCGGCTAGGATTCTATGAAAAGGTCAAATGTGGGCCGCCTGACCTTCCTCGGCTCATTTTGTTATGCGCCATGCTTTCTAGTGCCATCCGGAATGATAGTGGTTTTTGGGTAGTGCGCGGGTCCTTCTGAGAACTAGCTTATGTAGAGTGTAATTACAGATTCTTTCAGATAAGTTTGGTACCAACGATTCCACCTCTGATAATCGTAGGGCTTCCTTGGACCAGGAGTCGTTTTGATATCTGGTTTTTGGACCGTATATGCGAGTAGGTGGATCTTGGAAATGAGGAGAATTTTCCTCATTACAGCTCCCCAAAACCACATCCTCCCCTTAGAGGTGATTTTCTTCGGAACACGTCTCCCTCCCCCTCGTGATTGCTACTCTAGTACGACCCTCTTTCCCGTACAATCTCCCGAAATTCTCTCTACTTCTTGCCTTTTTCCGAAGTTTTTCCCAGAATTTCAGTCTTTCTCCGAGAAGCACAATTGAGCGAAGGGGGGGGGGGGAGCTACTTTCGATCAACTATAGAAAAATGTTCAGCTGCTAGAGAGGGATAGCTAGCTACCAGGATGCGGCATTACCGCGTGAGTTACCCATGGGGATCTCCAACACTGATGTACCCGGTGCGCAAGTGAAGCCGCTTGTTCTTGGGCTACCTTAGCTCCAAGATCCATCTCATCTTATTACTTGGAAAATCATTTGTTTGGGGAGAAAACGAGTGAGCTGGAAAAGTTCCAGACTTGAGTGACCGTTCCCCTTTCACGGTAATGGGCTCTGATTTCAGCTAGCCACGATCGAGCTGAGTTCTCGTCCGGATTCTTTAGCCATGCAGATCTGGCTTGTGTATGGTAGTCCACTGAGTGACGACAGAAAACATATGAGGCTTATATAATGCTTCTGAAACGGTTTTCCTTGTTACGAACAGAGAAAAAAGGTGACAGGGCCACGAAACCGTTGGTGATTGCATTCTCTAGCCAATATTCCTGATTAAAATGTCCCAACATTCTCCTGAAAACTTCAAGTGAATGTATGAAAAATCAAAGAAGTCAGTTCCTCCATAGATGGCGATCAATCAATATACCCCTCCTGTCCAAGGTTTATCGATTGTCTGGTTCACTGAACATCAGTGTGACCGCTATCGACTAACTGCACGTGCTTATAAACGAGTTCCCCATTCAAAAACTCGTAAAAATGTGTCGCTTTTTATAGATTTTCTCACGGGTTCCAGTATCAACCATCCTGTAGTAGTGGCTAGTTCTCGGTAATACCGGTTTTGTTGGTTGACCCTGTTTTGAGAGTTTGTTTTCGTCGTCGAATCCCCCGCTGTCCGTCGGAGCGGCGGTGGCCACCCTGTTACCCTCGCGTTAAGTGATCCTCGAGGTATGGTCAGGTGGACATAATGGTCAAAAGAAGGTAGAACCTTGGGAAGCTTCCACCTCGCAGTAGGGACAAGTAAGAACTATCTGCCTTTCTGTGGCACAGAGAGGGTAGTTCTTAGTTGAATCGTTGATGAGGTGGAGAACTGAGGGGAACGAGGGGAGCGCGTTAGTCAAAGGGGGCTCACTTTGGAAAGTTTCCTTGTCGGCATAATCTGCCCGGGGTACAAGAGCTGCCGCTCTCCAGACAACAATGTCTAGGGTTCTCCTGATTTTTTGGATGACTTAGTTGCTGCTGAAGTTCCTGTAGAGATTAGACAATCAGGGGGGAGGAGGGTTGACGCTAACTTTTGAAAAAGCGTCCACGAAGCCTAGTTTGTTAGCTCTAGTTTCAAAAGATTATTCCTGTATTCCCCCTCTCCCTCTCACCTTGACCACCTTGGGACCAACCGGAGTTTTTGGCTTGGCTGGCTTTTGGCCACAATTCGAACACAATTAGGACGGCCTTCCTTCATGGCTTTAAAAAATGTCATCATAACTCTTACTCGATTGCTTATCTCAAGATCGACGAGGCTAACCAGCGGAACTGCCGATTCCCCCCCCCCCTCCCCCCCAATGAATTCAGCCACTGACCCGTGTCTCCCAGCAGCCCGCTTTCCGATCCCCAGCGACCACGATATGGTTGAGTAGTCGTTGGGACGCGCGGAATTCGCTTTCTCTCACTTCGCGCCGAGGTCGCGCACTCCAACAACGCGACGAAATCAGAGCGCAAGAATAAATAGAACGGAAAGCGAGTGGACGCGCAAGTGAGCGCCCCCGTCACAGCACTCGAATTCAGGTCGAAATCATACGGCCATAGGGCGACCGACTATGTCGTAGCGTTATGAATGGCGTTTTTTCACAGTCAATTCAGTAAAAGAGCGTTACAAAAGTCATAAGAGATGAGTGGTGTGGTGGTATTGATTGATATTATCGATATTTTGTTACAGAATATCTGGTCTGGTATAAGTCCAACAGGTCTTAAAGAGAACGTTTCCCCCTGATTGGATGATTCCCAAGCCTCACAGCGACTTTGGTCAGAATCCTGACCGATCATTAATCATAACTGATTGGTGAGCTCACTGATAAACAGTCAGAACAGTCAGCTGGGTATGAGAGGAATGTCACGCTATGATGGTGTTTTCGCCCTAGTAGGGTTACCCTTCAAGGGTCAGAAAACAAAGAAAGAATCCTACGTTACAGTAAGCTCCTTCTTATGGGACGTTTATTTGTGGCACTGTTGATTTTTGATTTTTAAAGCGAAATAAATAGCTAGAACCAGCTGACAGTGACCATCCCATCTGGCCCAGCAACCTCCCACCATTGGTTACTGAGATCTAACTACTTACTTTTCCTGCTGTTGATTCTAGTAGTGATACCTTAGTGAATCATTTCCGGACTACGGTAGCTTGTCTAAAGGCTGTTGAAGGAAATACAGATCCTACGCAGACAACCAATGTGGTCTTTGATGCTACTGAAACCGGATATCGTGGCGCATCGGCCGTTACTTCAGGTAACTAACCTCTACGAAGATTTCGGTCCCTGGTTGTTTTTCCCCGGGATTTCAATGTGGGGATTTAGCACGCGATACGTAGATTCGTGGATATTATGGGATAGCGCGGCGCGGCCTGGATTTCTCACCCCCATTCACCGTAATTCGTCGCTTGCGTGCCGCTGTAGACGCCGCCCGCGACGATCCTCATCAATTTCGCATTTGGGTCACACAGTGCTCATCAAAACAACACCGACACGGCGAAGGCGGATGAGGCGATACGAGGGATTCCGAATGGGCTTTCCACGTAGATCATTAAACTCTGGGGTTCAGAACTCCTGGAACGCGCGTTAATAGCAAACGGGGCTGAAACCCGCAATATCTAAGGGTTCTTTTGGAGAATTCCTCACTGGCAGGAGTACTGTTAAAGTCGGAAGATCTATGAAATTAACTGAGCTTTTAGTGGAGCTGGTCCTAATATGCTCAACGGTCTTTGTTTGGGTCATTTTGGCATTAGAAAGGTGACCCTAACCCCTGACCCTCTTGCCCACCAAAACTTTACCACCAGCGGAATCATGATTCCCAGTGACCTGGAACAGTGCCCAGAACAACGATTTCAAGACCGTGATCGCTTTCAGCACGTTGTCCCACTACCGGTTTGTATGTTTGATTGACTCAATGTTTTACCTGTTTTGCAAAAATCTGCAGGATTCCGGTTTTGTGGCACCCCGTGGGGCAGATTGTGAACGAGGTGTCCGGGGACAGTGTCCACAGGAAGGTAAGGTAATCGGTCTTTTCTTAGGAGAAGGAAATTTCCAGATTGCTCCCTACTGATAAGTTCTTTCTCTCAAACGTGCCAAATTAGCTGGACAGCAAATGGGTGAGGAAATGATTGCTTGGGAAGCTCTTCTTCCTATTGCTCCTAAACCTCAGGATTGCCTGGAGTAAAGGTTCTCAGAATTATAGATAAAGCCTCTTTTGCCCCAGCAATGGGAGCTCCCCAGAGGGTCAAAATCTATTGATGGGTATGGGGAAGAACGAGTTCACGATTCTTCAATGGAAGATAGGCAGCGTCGCAGAAGAAAAGGCACTTCTATCACTCCTCTAGTACTTCTTTTTTCCTGGGGTGAGTACTTAGGTTTGATTTTACCGGTTGTTTTACCCGAATTCCTCTTCGATTTCCATCCTCGATAGAAACAGGAGCCTGGGTGCCTGGTTCGCGCTCAGCTGTGTGTTTGACGGTGTACAAAATGATTGAATAATGAATTCCGTCAAGTCCCGGATATTCCCGTGGCGGTCGCAAGCGCAGCAACGCGCAGAGCGCGCACACTCTTGCGCACTCTTAGTCTGACGTACAAACAGGTCTTTTGTTCGCCGTACGACACCAACAATGGGATTTCATTTCGTTCGTCCATTCGAGACAACCGCCGAGTCATAGTGACAGCCGCAGGAACAGTAGCTAGGAGTCATCATCCCTAAGGGACCTCAATAAAATTACGGTATCACCCTTTCGGGTACTTAAAATTGCTGTGACGAGCCGTTGAATGCCATCGTTTGAAAAACACTTATGTGCTGTAATGGCGGTAGTATAGACGAAGCTTTGCGAGAGAGCCGCGTAAAAGAAAACGCGCTCAGGCGGCGCTCGACGAGCTCATAAAACATAGCGCAGTGATGGCGGCTGGCTGATGAGAGTACTGTACGTGCTGTACGGTAGTCAAGCGGATGAGTCATTGCGTCTGCAGCAGCAGCAGCGTTGGTTGTGATGGAGGCAGTGGCAGCAGTGCGCCGTCAGCAATCCAAGCAGCCAGTCGGCTGACGGGCATTGCACTGGAGCGATCCGATGGGCTGATTGGAACGCGCCGTTAGAGCACAAACAACGAATTCGATTCGAAGGACGATTGGACGGAAAGCGTGGCGCGCGTGACTCTCTTGGGACTTATTTTTGACCGTCAACAAGGGGGTACGAAGGTGGGCTGAATTGTGAAATACTGCGTTGTAATTTATCCAATGGAGGAAAAATTGAAACTGTCTGTAGGCGTCAAATGTACTAGGAAGGGTTCCCGAGGTTCTCGACCGCCACGGGAACCAACTTTTCCTGAAACTCACCGAATTCCTCGGGTTGGTGGTTGTTCTCTGAAGCGGGCGATAGAGCACGCACAATGTGCCAAAGTTGACGGCATCATTACAGAAACATTTCTTTAGTCCTCTTACTTTGAAGTACCGTGCCCGTGCGACGGCGCGGAACTAGGGAGAAGAAGAAGAGACTCTGAAGTACCGTCCTGACGTTCCGAAGCAGCCTCAGAAACCAACTTTCTCTGGAAATCACAGAGGTGTCAAGGTCGATGGCGGCTTCTGTGGAGGGCATAGATTTGTTGTGCAGACGTCATTGGGCTCAAGCAGAGTCAGTGGTTCTGAAAAAGGACTACGGATATCCCGCATGGTTCTTGGACCCTCTGGGAGTCAAGTCGTGTGTTCCAAGAATGGAGGAGGAAGGGGAAGTGAACTGATTGGATTTGCAGTCAAAACTGCCCTCAGCTGCGGCTTACCATAGAACACATTGACTTGTCATCTTCAATCAAGAAACATCTACTTGACTGTTAAGGATTCGAAATGGCCAACGCTATGAATTATTTTAGGGGGAGGGGGTAAATACCAGATAGTACCAAGCCAGGTTACCGCCCAAAATGCTGGACCACCCTCGTGCCCACTATCACTGCCCCAGTTGTACCCTAGTTCTCAGCAATCTGCATTTTACAGCAGACAATACGTGAACTACTGGATGCTGGTATAGTGATCAACGGAGCCCAAAAATTGCACATGTCCAAAGGAGAAAGCCGAGGATCTCTATGGAGACCATAAAGGTAAACTATGGCATAGATCCAGTGCCATAAACCGGCCCATATAAAATAATAAATGGGTTTTTTCAGGCAAATTCTTCTATCCCCGGTTGGTGCGGCATGTGACCAGGTGAGCTGCGCACGGTCGATGCTCATCGACTGCTCAATTTTATTTGACTTTATATTTCTTTGTTTATTCTACGCGCACACTCGCGCCCCGTACTGAATTTCAGCTGGAGTCACTGAGATGCGAGCGGTATGAGGGGATTCAAAAAGGTGGTGGTCAACAGTTGCTGGCGCCATGAAGAGGATCCCCAGTGGGATCGTTGCCTGGTCGATCCCATTGCTTCTGCTGTGCGCTGTGGGTCATTAATCGATTCACCCGGAGAAGCTGGTTCTCAAAAGCTGGGTGGTCGCTGCTGTACGTGATGGCGATGAGAAGATTGGTCGTACAAAACGGCTCCCCTCTCGGCACCCTTCCACCACTGTCGGTAGTAAAACCCTCTTGAACCAAAATATTGAGCCTTACCTAACTCATCACCTCCCTTTACCTCTAAATCGTGTCTCCGGGGTCACACTTAGGCGAAAATGGTGAAGCCTCCTTCTCTTCCTAAAATTGTCCATCTTTCTACTGTAGTGAAGGATCCTCGGTAACCCAATACGGCTCTACGCAGCCAGAGAGCGCAGCCAGCCTGTCCTCCACCCCCCCCCCACTCTTAGTTCGGATTCTTCAGGAGTGGTCTGTCCCAGGGTACAAACAATGATCATGAACTGACTATTATTTGAGAGCACCCTGCGGAATGATGGCTTGATTAGTTCTTCTCCTTCAAATTTCCCACAAAACTGACAAAAAGTCCGCAAAGTTCTCATTTTTAGCGGTCCAGTGATCGCGATGCGAGTAAGCGGTGATGTACGGAGTATTCTGGGAAGCAGCCGTTTGTACCCGATTCCCGAAATCGGTGTGCGATCGTCGTTACGTCAACGTTATGCGCTATCCGATGTACGGAACGTGGCACACACGTCGGACGCTGATGCCGCCCAACGTGAGCTGGCCATCTTTGAGCCGTTCCTACCTCCAGAACCGCTACTGAAAGAAATTCTGACGCCAAACATTGGGCCATCATTTTTGGGACAAGGGTAATTCGAGGGGGCCACGCTGCTGCACGATCATGCCACCTTATGCCTCATCTGCCTTGTCTTGCCACGTTTTTTCTGAAGTATAAACATTTGGATGTGACGCTATTCTTCTTTTCTGTAAGAGGGCGCCGACAAGCAGACATGACGTGGCATGGTCACCCGTAGCGTGGCATCCTCCAACTGCCTTTGCCCCCATTTTCCGCGATTTCGCGTCAAGTAAGTGACGTTCTGTAATTGTACGTACAACGAATCAGTCAGTATTTTCGAGTGTAATAAACAATAATAACACGTTTTCATTTCTTCAAATTCAACTCATCACAATATTGAGAGAGAAATCGCAGTTCCAGAAAATTTGTCTCGAAAATTCGAATTCAAAGTGAATTAAAATACAATTCAGAATCACAATCATCATCATCAGTAATATTTGACATCCTATGTACATGTACAACAATGCGCGAGCTCTTCTCAATAACATATTATGTATATAAATTTAAAATTAATCAATATCATCAATCAATATTAGGCATGGTGTGAAAGAGTGGGTGTGAAGAACGAAAAAATGTGCGCTCTATGAATATCGATATAGAATATAAGTCTATATATATTTATATGTTTTGTTATACACATTCTACAGACAGTGAGTGTACAGCAGGTGTCGTGTCACCCAGGACGTGAGCGGTCGCGGCGCGGCTAATCTATCGATATCGTATGCCGTGTCGTGAAATAAATAAGTGTCTGGAGAATGTGTGTAACTGTACGTATATACTATAAAATATGAGGATCATATCGAATTGGGTGAATGCAAGGCGACAAGGCGACCGCGGGCGCGTCACGTCGCACGTGATCGCGCCGCGAACTGCAATAACGAACCGGAGTGTGATTGGAAAAGACTTAGACGGGGCTAGAAAGGCTAAGAATCGCTGACAGCTGATATAATGGCGTCACGAATGCATGGCGCGACATGAGAAAACCTCATGTCAACCCATACATGGACTCCATCATGACGAATAAAAACGTTATCATAATCAATAATCATCAGATCAGTAAGTGGATGCGGCGGCGTAAGAAAAAAAAATTGAAAATGAAAAGAAAACACGAACGAACAACCGATCAATAAAACAAAAAGCAGATATCAACAGAAAATGATCTCAAGAGAGCTACCGTAATCCGGTTAACAGCTAACCGGAACTCGATTGATACTGTGGCGGCATGATTTCGACAAGAGTGGCGGCAAAGCACGTGGAATCTTCCGGGGCAGCTTCCACATCCAGGATAAATGTGTCCTCATTACAGTAATGGCGAAGCATATCGTCGTCCATTTTAACCGTAACTCCTTTGGCACATCGCTTGTAGAGCCCGCTGATCTGAACATGGACGTAATTACGACCGATACATGGAACAAGACGACAGTGACGGACTCAAACTCACCTTTTGAGAATCGATCCCGAATTTGTGGGCAACGGCTTGTGCTAAACCATCTAAGGAAGGCGGTATGACGTGCAGGGGAGTGTAGATCTGATCATCTCGTTTTCGGACGTAGAGCATTACTGGAAAGAAAACTGATTGATAAATCGAAGGAAGAGCCAGGACAAGCAACCAGGTGAACGCTGTACAAGACTGGAGCAGAACTTACTCCGCTCAGAAGGCCTCGGTCGTTTCGCAACCGGTTCCATATCTGAGAGACCGTCATAGCCGATCGATGTGCCGTCGAGATACCGTGAATCGTATTCGTCTGGGGCGATGAACAAAGCGGCCGGCTTGTCCAACTCTCGCATATGGTAGAACTCAGATCGTTCACATGGCTCATGATACTCACCGTCAGTCTTCTTTCGGCCAGATAAAGCGCCTACAATATCGGGTTCAAGACGAAAAACCCCTCTCGGGTAGGCTCAACACAACAAATAACGAGAGGGTTCATAGTCACATGTAAACATGGATTCAGGGTTTACAGCCAGGAAATTCGTGGGGTAAAATCTTGACAAAAATGGACCAATCAAGGCTCTATATGCCGTTTTTTGGATTTGCTTTCGTAAGCAGATCGCTGTGTGCCATTGCGTACACTGCGGGGCTACAGTAACCTTACGCCCAGTTTTATTCAATGTCGAGGAGAGACTTCGTGGAAGATGCGTCTATATTCGAGCGGAGGGGGATACAGATTTTCAGATAGCTTCCCCTTCACCATTCCGCAACAGGTCGAAGCACAAAGAGGGCCACGATAGCGGACTCTATGTGTTATTCTGTTAATATATGTGAAAAGATAGCGGTTATGTGATAATACGTGTACATACTGCGATTGCGCCATAGTCCATGATTGATTCGCCAGCTGCTTTACTTTTTGTGGAGAGGCAGACGGAATAAGAAGAGCCCTCATGGTAGAGTAAATGACAACCTCGACGAAAAAATTTTCGAGTTACGAAAGTCAGGGGCGCAAACAATGAGAAGCCCTGCAAGTCTGCCGAGGGGACTGGTCACCATCACACGGAAACGGTGTATCTCTTCTTGGACGCGGTTAAATCATGTCCTTAAAAGTACTGGCTGGCTTTTTACTACCGTTCGCCGGACTCACTTCCTAACCAGACGATCGTTTACAGAGTGCCCAGACTATTTAGATTTTGATTCGCACGAGAGGCGAAAGCGTGACCGCTTTATAAAGCGAGTTGCCACGCCTCCCCAAACAAAATCAAATGAGAGTGAGAAACCGTAGGGATGCATCCTGGGATTGGGATACTGAATGTATGTCAATCATTCATAACTCTATGCTTTACTACATTTTATGTAACTTTTTTCAAGGGGACCTCTGTAGAGGAACACTGTTATGCTTGGAAGAATTAGTTTACTAAGATTTTACTTGCTTCCCTTATTTTTTACCTTCTAATGCGTTTGACTCTCTTCATGCTATTGACTTATCGCGAATTTGGAGAAACCATGGACTGACTTTAGGGCGTATGTAAATTTAGAGTTTCGGTCGATGAATTCGCTTTCCTTCCATCAAAAATGGCCCACAGTTAACTCGCGTTCAGGAATAGACGTCTGGACTAAAAGATCCTCATCGAGTTACAACTTTAAAATAATCACCAAACTGCAATCCAGGTGCTCACGTCCACACCAACGAATAATGGAATACTAGGCAGGCGAAGGTTTACATGTAGCTCCGCCAACAGTTCCAGACGCCACAATCAGCCCGCAATCTGTAGGAAAGAATGGCGCCGGCACTATATGCCGCTTTTTTTTGGATCATTGCTTTCTACTGCCACAGATGGATTTCCTAGATGAAAACCTCAAAGCAGACAAAAATTTCTATAAACCTTTGACACTGTTGTGCAAAACAGGGATGTGCGGAAAATATTCGGAGAGAGATATCATCAAGGTTGAAGGTCTATCGCATATATGATCTAGCGGATTCATTTTCCAGTTCAACTATTCCTATGGTTAATTACGTCCATCGGAATTGGCTTCCTCGATTCTTGCCAGTTGAGGAGGAGGGCGTAGCAAATGGTAATCAGGGGTTCCGCCAGCGCGGAACTAACCGATTTTTGGCCTAGAGGTTTTTCAAAGATTGCACCCCATAAACCCGTCAAAAATCGACTAGCGCGCGTGGCTTCGTAGCTCTCTTTCAGACATGCGTAGGACGTAGATCATCGTTGATATGCGCCAATGTGAGGCAACTTATCATCCTGTCTTGCGCCTGACAAAGACTCGATTATAGTTGTGTCAGGAAACGACACCGGCTGGAATTACCGATCATCAACAATGGAAATTTCCCTTCCCACGTGTCAAGAACCTGAAAATGTGTCCCATCAGCCCGACAGCCCAGGTTCCGCTGGATGATCGGTACAATGACCGTTTTATCGCGCAAATTTCCTTTTCGGTGAGAGGATGACAGACGCAGGTAGAGATAACGTTACAACATTGCACCGCTCGCGCTGCTCTCCAATTACCTTTGAACCTTGGATCTAAAACATGCGGTAAACCCACTCCGACCAAGGCCAGAAAGGACCGCCAGGGAAGGGCCATTATCGTGCCGTCTTCATGATTGTCTGAACGAAAGGGAAAAGATACACTCCATATCCCAGAGATGGAGTGGGCGAGGCTGCATACTTCATTTCAACATGGCTTGAGAAGGGTTTTTTAAAACTTCTTTTCATTTAAGATAACTGCCCATCCTTCTTGGCATCCGCCGGTCAAACGCATTGGTAACGATTCCCGAGAGATGCAGCAATCCAAATCGAGAGAGCATCGAAAGCGCAGCCAGCACTACGTTCAATTGAAGTGCTCAGCCACGCCCCTCCATCTTCAGGATATCGAGGTAATTGCTTGGCATGAGAAATTGTCAATGATGGCAGAAAAGTTCAAGAGGAACATTAGCTGAAGAATCTGGAGTGAGACTAGAAGATTATCACTTGATTGGTATTTTGCTTTAGAAAGAAAAAATTGGATTTTCCGCATATCCCTGACTCGGCTGGTATTGGTTACTTTTTAACATTTAACACGTATTACACATAAAGAAGTCCACAAAGAATTTTCATAGAATTTACATATAAATCGACGCCTGTGTCTGGTCACAAGTGTGCCAGACAAAAGGTCCCGAAGAGAAAACATGTAAACACGTAAATACACATACGAGGTACAAGCACAGAATAGAGTACCTTGAATGCGTCTCTTCTCGTCTCGTCTATTTTCATGGAGCATTTTCCGATTAGCTCCCTAAAAAAGCGAAGCGTGTTAGATGTGAAAAAGGACGAGGGGTTACAACGATGACTACAACGTCTTCAGAAGCTTTCGTCAGACGAGTCCTTCGTTCATTCACGTTGACACAACAATTCACAACACCACAACGAATAATATAGATAGCTATTAAAGCGCCAGCGAACAGCGCCCACGATGGAGTAATTGGTCCTGACACGACTGCACAACACTATTTGTTATGATACGGTACGAGATACGGTACGGTACGCAGTACGTGGTAAGGTTATGTGAGAGAGCAACGATTGCGAGCAGCAGCTAATTACGTTACGGTTACAGCACAGTAGCGACAGACGACCACGACCGACCGACAGATGACGACAGTGGTGGTTACCTGCTAATTTGCGTTTTTGATTTCGCTTGTCTTCGTCCCGCAACTTTCGCTCGGCGCCCTTGAGAGAAAAAAGAACGATTATGTTCGGTACTTAGAAGTAACAATGTCATTACACTGTGATCGTTTTTCAAATGGTTTGATTTCTCTTGGAAAAGCGCCAAAATATCCCGCGAAAGCTGATTGCGCCCCTTGTGAATCCATCCGTGAAGTACATTGATCGGCGTAAGATTCAGCGCTTTAGTCGTAATTACAGCACTCATTCCCTAGCCGGTTTTTGTGGCCAAGAACTCGTGCGCATCGAGTGCGCTATTTTAATAAGGTTGGGCTATTTTGGTACATAAAATATAAGGCATTAAGGGGAAGCACGGTAATCGGTGGGCTTTTTTAAAAATAGGATGTTGTCTCGCAGCAGCTTTACAATGAAGGGTTGGGTTACCCACCCGCGAGCTCGTTCCTCTCAAGTATAACCGAAAATCCCCGTTACCATGGCTCGTTTCCGCACATTTTCGTCATCGAATATCGTCTATAAGGAAATGGAATAAACGAATAAAACGAAGCCCGCAACATCCCGTAATTTATGGAAGCCTGTGTGCAGAAATTTGATATGCGCAATTGTACGAACTATTGCACAAAAATTCCACCTTACTACCTCAGAGCAGCGCCAGATAGAAGTCTCAATGAAAATCATGACATTTTTCAGGACAGTGATATTACGGCGTTTGGACGAGAAAGAATTGGTACGTTTTTTTTCTTGAATTTTCTAAGAAACCTATCATTCTAGAAAGGGGGCCAGCATGCTTTAGAATGCCATTACAGAGGATCCAAGAAGCTAATGTAGTTAGATGGGGGAGACCACCCGGCAGTGCGTACCTAACTCTTCTCCTAACCGAGACCTGGACAAAAAAAATAGCTTTTTTCTGCGAGATTATTCCTGCGACTCTCGTCGTTAGCGCTCTAGCCGTAAGTCTCGCCAGGAAAAAGCACACAGAGGCGCAACCGAAGGCCCCCATCACCAAGGTAGCAGTGCCTTTTGGCGCTATTTCGGAATTTCAGTGTCAGAGTCGTAAGGTTTGTTGTTTTGGCTGTACTGCTGACGTTAATGTGGTAAATAAGGCACCGACGCTATTTTGGCACTCAGAGCGACTGGGAGAGAATTGAAAAATATATCATAAGACTCCCCATTTATACCACCTTAGTGCCAAAATTTTTTGCAGTCATGGCTAGTATGACATCATAATGGAATAAATAAACGGCTACGGTAGCTCGCGTAATAGTGCAATCACGGACAGTCTAAAATAACGCCTTTCTTATGCATTTTCCACCCTGTGTAATGTACGCACCGCAGGTTGTAGTGTATTGGCATCACTCGAGACTTCTGAACCCGAAATATACCCAAAGAATGTGCTGGCGTGGGAAATACGGCGGGAATCAGGGTCGAAACTTTCCAAAAAAGACT